AGAAATGTTTGAGTAAAAAAAAGTCCACAAAACCAAAAATTATTAGGCTTACCATTTTTGTACCAAGTCTAATAAAAAAAAAATATTAATATAAGTTATAATGACAGTAACTACGAAATTTTGAATAAGATGTAAATGCCAGAAGTGGGCACTTCAATCGCTTGTCTTAAAATCACTATAATATAAATATATTAATTGGTCATCAGGTATAACTGATCCATCGTACAAAGGATAATCGAGAGTGGAATAAAGGATCATGAAATTTACTCAACTAAGAGTCTAAGACGTACTATCACAGAACAGTCGATTAACCCAACGATAAGCTTGTATGTAATATGTATACATAGCCAATTGGCATACAAGTAATAATAATGTATTACATTGTAACAATTAATAATTATTTACGTTCAATATTATATAGGTATTTATATTATTAAGATAAATTGTACGATATTATCATAGACCTTATACTTCGTTGCGGTTTGTGATAATCACTATTCTCTTATCAGTCATAATTCATCACTATTACAATAATATGTTGAATATTCATATATTATGTTTTAAAATAATATATTTAAGATTTAAGATTTAACGTTTATTAAACATTTTATTATATTTTAATCAAGTCAAATAAAGAAGAATTTATAATAGATTATTACTGTAGACATTTTGATGGTTAAAAAATATTATATACAAATCTGAGCATCGTTCTTGGAAGTTGTATTCTAAAACTGTTATTACACCACCAAGGTCTTGATAAATGTTGTTAAATCTAAAAAAAATAATCCGAAATCTAAAAATTTTATCTATTACAGTGATCCTATGGTAATGAAAAATATACAGCCTATCTAAATATATCTACATCAATTATTGTCGCAGACACCCTGTGCTTTTTAAGATATCGGATCTTGATTAATGTCGGATGATGATGTATGTTTAGACGCTTTTCTAAGAGCTTTTTAATTTTTAAAAATAACGGATAATTTTCGGTTTTTCCTCCTAGACTGCAAAATTTAAAATATTACCTTTTAAAGTTGAATTAACAAAAAACAATGATAATAACTCACGCTCTAGTTAGTGGTTTTGTAAGCATATTTTTGGGTTCATTTTTTAAGTTCGGAATCGGTAATATAATATTATCAACGTAAAACTGCTTATCATTGATAATGTAGTGGGCTTTGATTTCCTCAATCAAAATTTCCAAAATGTTGTTTTTCTTCCAACGCACTGACCTTGATTTCTAACAAAGTAATCAATTATTGAATATTATATATAGAAATATATAAATATATTTATGTGGATTATTATACTGGTGGTATAATATAAAAATCCAATTCAATGTTCCTATCTCTAATATTTTTTAGGATAATTAACATAAGTGTACCACTTATCGTATGTTTTAAAGAAATGTACGTAAGTTTATTACGTTAGCAAAACTTTTTTAGAGGAATTTACAATATTTTATGAAATTTTATAATTGCCCGAAAAAATTAAGTTTATTATAGGTACTTTAACTATATTCTTTATCCACGACTTTTGCAACGGAACGGGTTCTACAGACTCGGCACATCTTAATAAGTGTAAGTGATAATAATTCTCGGGTAAATCTTCGTCTTGGTGATCGTTTAACTGGGTTTCTTTAACTATTGAAAAATAATAGTTCATCTCTCTTATAGCACGTTCACTCCTAAGCACAATGCACATTAAAGAAAACAGTAGATTAAGTAATTAACTCCGATGTTTTATCATTAACAAATTTAATTTACATACCTTTCATCTAGAATTATTTTATTAAACTCGCTCATGATGAATATATAATGTGTACACTCTAAGTATATTATATTATACCGACATACCATATAATATGCATAAAAAATATTATGTTATTTATGTAGGTACCAACGTTACTATAGTACCGTATAACCGTCCGCATGGGCGCCCATTGGGGGGACAGGGCACTTGCCCCATCCCTGGAAAAAATATTACCACAATATTACCTTATTACCGAGGCAAATTATTTGTTGAAATCACTTTTAAGATATGAAATAAATATAAAAATATACTCATTGTTATCGTATATTAACATCATAGATAGGTCGTATTCTGTAGTCTGTATAACCTATACGTAAAATAATTTATCGCAGATAATTTGTGGTAAATCTATAAAGATCACAATATAGGTACTACAAATATTTTAACCTAACGCAAACAAGGATACTTTCATTCAGGATGTCATTAATATGTTTGGAATAAAACGAAGAAATTTACAGTTCTTATTTACTGATACCGAATAATATACTTAATTATATTATTTAATTTATATTTTTTTAAATACTTATTAAAATTATTATTTATTTATTTATTTATTCATATGACAATTATTATATATTTATTTATTTATTCGTATGGCAATTATTATATTAATACACTATATATATACAAATAAAAATATAACATGCATGTATAGTGTATACATTTATATGTGAAAAATAACATTAAATTTTTATTATCTTACATTCGAAAATTTTTTTATTTTGACCCCCCCTAAAATATTACCTATGGGCGCCCATGACCGTCCATACGTACGTCTATTATTAGTAGCCAGCTATATTTATAATATCCATAGACCTTATACTCATAGACCGGCCCTGTGAAAGAAAATCTGAATCGTGATAGATGGTGCTGATGTTGTTATGTTGATCGGTGCACAATATAAAAATTATTATGCATACAATAAAAGATCTATGTATTATGTGGACATGCGGTTATTAGACATCAGCTGTTATTTTATTTTCCGACTGTTCCTAGTTTTGAAATTTTAATGATTTATATTTTATATAATAATCTGTATTCTGTATTTATTTTATATTCTTTAGACTATAGGTATATAATTATTATTTTAATAATTGTTCAATATGGTTTATAAATGCCTTCTTCCATTTTGTAAACGAGGATATAATGACAAATATAAAAATAAATAATATAAATATAACAATTTTAATAATTTTAATACATACTAATAATATTTTTTAACCATCAAAATGTCTACAGTAATAATCTATTATAAATTCTTCTTTATTTGATTTGATTAAAATATAATAAAATGTTTAATAAACGTTAAATCTTAAATCTTAAATATATTATTTTAAAACATAATATATGAATATTCAACATATTATTGTAATAGTGATGAATTATGACTGATAAGAGAATAGTGATTATCACAAACCGCAACGAAGTATAAGATCTATGATAATATCGTACAATTTATCTTAATAATATAAATACCTATATAATATTGAACGTAAATAATTATTAATTGTTATAATGTAATACATTATTATTACTTGTATGCCAATTGGCTATGTATACATATTAAATACAAGCTTATCGTTGGGTTAATCGACTGTTCTGCGATAGTACTTCTTTGACTCTTAGTTGAGTAAATTTCATAATGCTTTATTCCACTCTCGATTATCCTTTGTACGATGGATCAGTTATACCTACCAATAACGTTTCGGTCCGTTGTTTTATTTTTTGGCATTTATGTGACAAATTAATTTAAAAATAGTAATCTATACACAATTTTAAAAATATTTATATTTACTTCATCCTTTATTTTAATACTAAATTTTTTTTTTTAAATTGAAAATAATTGTTATTTACAAACTGCAAATTTCTAAGTACCTATAGATAATTAACGTTTTTTATATCTGTTAAATATTGCAATAAAGTGTTTTGGGAGTTAATATATCGACCTTCGTCGTGCATCAATAATAATAGATACCTAACAATACAGAAGTTGAGGTATAATTCCGTGCGTATTAGATACCTTAGTACCTACAAGAAGTATTTTAATTTTAAGAAGTAACCAAGTTATATTCTATTGTTTGAGTAAGCTCATCCTGTTTGAGAATTATACAAACGTTTTTTGAGTGGTTTACCGTCAAATTATTATACCTAACTATGATTTCTTAAAACTATATAGTTTCCAACTATCTGCATAGGTAGTTGTTATTTATCCTGGGACTAGGGTGAACTTATTTTTCAATTATTGGAATAAGAATAGTCCCATGTTGATTGGTAGATATATAATGAACATAAAAAAATAATTGCAGATCAACTACTACACCTAATTAATAGCAATAGAACACCACTATATGAATACCATTTTTTTCACATACCTATAGGTATGCCTACCTATTACGATTTTCTCCATAGAGTAGATTTCTACAAATACTTCCACGGTGCGGCGGTCAAACTTGGATGACGAATCGAAATCGGTAGCCCGATGGGTGATGGCGATTGTATAGGTACTAGCATGATCTAACAAAAATATAAGTAGGTAATAGTGCAATATACTTATGTACCTGACAGCTAGTCGGAACGCGTAATCCGAACCCAAGTACATTTCAGTGCAGTGGGTGGAAATTATGAACCATATGCTCTACACTGAACAATTAAAGGATTCAAAATGTATGTAATTTTGTGAAATATTTATAAAATATTATTTCTTTGTGAATAACAAAATAAAATGTAGATACGCATATACAATAATTTAAGTCTATTATAGATAAAGTAATCTATTAATTATATTTTATTTGTATTATAAAACGTGTCATATTTAAAATATAATAATATTATAGATAGGTAATAACAAATATAAAACATAGAAATTAGATAAAAATTGAATTATTGTACCTATTTAAAACTTAATTATTCAACTAAAAATCAAACTTTTATTCAAATAGATTTAAATCAATTTCCATTTCAATTGCCAATAGATGAAAATGTAATATATATAGAATAGTGTCTCAATGGTCAAAGTATTGAATTCATCAAATTTAAACTTTAAACTTTAAACATTGTTTTTCGGGTTTTTCGAAATGTTGATGAACAATACTGGTTACAAAGTTGTAAACGGTTATATTATATTAGTTTCGGAAACGATAATTTATCTTCAACCAACCGACTGATAATTCAATCACATTTTTATTGATAACGACGACGGAATTTAAAAAGAACAACATTGCTATTAAATAAATAGCATTTTATCGTAATCGTTTTCTCATTACTTCATAGTTCACGGTTGTCTGCTGCATTGTTGCAATGGTGTCCAACAGCTACACCATTCTTCAGGTACTTGTTGTGTTCATAGAATTGTTTTATTTTAATTATTATTTATTATTTTTAATATTATGTGACATGTGTTCAAACGTTAACGAATGTAATTCAGTGTGCATTTTCGTTTTCAGTACAATTAACGATGGTTTTCATCAGAGCCTATTCGAATCGTAGTTGTAATGCTCTCTCCGTGGCTAGTACGCGCTGTTATCTGTTGAAAGGGTATTTGGATAGTCGTAAAAATCAAAAATGTCAAAAGTATTCGACCAGCCCTGGTGTTTTGCCAAAGAACTGCAAAGTAGCGATCTGCGGAGGTGGAGTCATGGGAGCCTCTGTTGCCTATCATTTAGCTCAATTGGGATGGGGTCCACAAACCATAGTCATCGAACAAGACAAGTAAACAATATTATAATTGTGCTTTTAAATAAAATAATATTATATGACATAGTATCACTGATATTTGTTTCGTTTCCAGGTTAGGAGGTGGAGAGAATTCTTTTTCATCAGACCTAGTTGGTGTATTCAAACCAACACTGAGTCAAGTCAGAATCTGTCAATCCAGTGTCAAACTTTACCAAGAATTAGAATCTCAAGGTTTTCAAACAGGCTGGAAGCAATGCGGTAGCCTTTGTGTTGCCCGAACAAGAGATCGCATGATTGTTTTTAAAAGAATGAAATCCCAATCTGTGTAAGATGTTTAATATTTATTTGCAGTTAGTTTCATTGTTTAATATTTCATTATATTACTATTTTTATACCTATTAGTTCTTGGGGCATTAAATGTGAAATAGTTGATCCTCAAAAAGCAAAAGAACTCTGTCCACTTATTAGAATAGATGACATTAAAGGAGCCCTGTGGATACCTGAAGACGGTGTTGCAGATTCTTACAAGATATGTCTCTCTCTATTAGAAGCTGCCAAACAAAAAGGTGCTTAGAAATTAAATTGTTTGCTTTTAGTTTGAATTATGGATTATAAAACGGTAATATTAGGTAAAATTCTTCGAAATATTTATTGGCATCATAATTTATAAAATCTTTAAAAAGTGAATTGTGGTCTATCGATATTCAATGTATTAAAATGATGATTTATATTGTAGTATTGTATTTATTAAACTATTCATTAAACATCTAAAAAGTAAATTGTGTATATTTTACTAAAAAAAAAAAAAAATTTTTATTTAATATGTATACAAAAAAAAATAACTATGTTTAATAATTATAATTCATAGGTGTTGTAGTATTTGAAAACTGTAAGTTATTGGAAGTAGTCTGTGATAATGGTAAAGTTGTTGCCATTGATACATCGATGGGATCAGTTGATTGTGATTATTACGTGAACTGTGGAGGTTTTTGGGCACGTAAAATTGGACAACGTAGTAATCCTTCAGTTAAAATACCTCTGCATCCAGTTGAACATTATTATCTCCGTACAAATCCTATACCAAATCTTGACTCTCAAACACCAGGTATTATATAAATAATGTAACATTTATGAAATAAAAATCACAGATCTTATAACAATTTATTTAATTATTAATTTATCTAGTTGTACGAGATCAAGATGGCTCTATATATTTTAGAGAATTAAATGGATGTATTCTGGCTGGTGGATTTGAACTCGAAGCTAAACCAGCATTTGAAAACGCAAAATGTCCAGGTAATTTGAAATATTTAAAAAAATGCATTATAATTGATGATTTTATTCATTAAAGTAACTATAACCTACATTGTATTAGTACAAATTTTTATTTTTAAAATTTTAAAAACCACTATTACAAGCATTTATGAATAGGGTAAATAATTATTTCAAAAATATTAATTATTTATTATAAAGATAATATCAAGTGGTACATTTATTTATATGTTTTCATAATTTGAATACCATGATTTGGAAATCATCTACCTTACTCATTAACTGTTTTTGTTTTTTAACTAAGTTATTAAACTTAGGATAACACATGTAATAATTTTCAACAAGTAATAAAAATTATTAAGTATTTAGTTATAAATATACTTTTATATGATTACTGATTACAGATACTTCAGCTGGAAGACAGTTACCCGCTGACTGGGATCACTTCCATGTGTTACTTGAACAATTATTACATAGAGTGCCATCATTAGCAAATGCTTCACTTGACAGCTTAGTGAATATTGCTGAAACATTTACTCCTGACTGTAAATGGATTGTTGGACAAGCACCCGAAGTATAAATTTAAAGTTTTAAACATTCTATTTGTATCAGATTAAATTAGTTTTAAACAAACAAACAACTAATAACTAGAGCAAGGACTTTCATGCACCCGCATATTTTTTTCTGGTTTACTTTTTCATATGCAGAGTAAGTACACAATACATTTCACAATGTTTGTGACCAAAATCTCTAAGTTTTTAGTGCATATTTTGACATTTTTGAGTTTAAAGAACATATTATTTGATTATAAGAGCATATTTTTAGTTTATAGTGAATATTTTAAAGATTTTCAAAAATCATGTACTTAGTGAATATTTTTCATGATCAAGGACACAAATTATTATATTTAACTATTTCTATATTCTCATAAAGATGAAAGAGACTCATTTTATCATAATTGTGAATCTGTAGATTAGATTACAATAAAGTGATATCAAATCTAGTTAAAACTTAAAACGATAATATAAAATTATTAAAATTAAATATTTAAAGAAAAAATATAACTTTTAGAGGTATAAACTTAAGTGTATTAATTTTTTTGAGTGCATATTTAATTGCATATCTTAAATTTTTTGATGCAAAAGTGCATATTTGATGATTTTGTAGTGCATGAAAGTCCTTGCTCTACTAATAACGAATAATAGACATTAGATAGTAAATACACAAATCTCAAACAATATTACATTTATTTTTGGTTTCAAAAAAGTCCTAAGTAATTTTTCATACCCTTTGTTTTCAACAGATTTTCTATAACAATTTTTAATATTTTAATGTATTTCCTGACATTGATATCTCATAACTTAGATATTAGTACAAAATTATTTATAATATACCTATTTTTAATAAGTACAAATAAATATTATTTCGGATCTTCTAAAATACAATAATCTTAAATTATTGATAACCGTTTCCAAACATAAAATTTTGTCCTATCACTTCTCATTTAATATTGTATATTATTACTCTTATGTTAAGTTTATAATAAAATTAATGCAATAATGTAAACAAATGAAGACAATCTTTAAATTTATGAATAATGTTTGTATAATTTAAATTATAGATTGCAAATTACTATGTTGCTGCCGGTATGAAGACTGTTGGTATATCAGCTGCAGGTGGCGTAGGCCAAGGAGTTGCTCAAACCATTGTTAATGGATATTCACAATACGATTTATATGAATTAGAAATGAGCCGTTTTTTAGGATTGCATAATAACAGAAGGTTCCTTAGAGACAGAGTAAGAGAAGTACCTGGTATGTTTTTGTCTTAGAAGAAAGCATTTTAATCATTTCTAAAACTATTAAAATTTTATATATAGACAATTTAATTTCTAGGCAGACATTATAGCATCCAGTATCCAAACAATGAGTTTAAAACTGGACGTAATCTAAGAATGTCTCCAATATATCCAAAGTTGAAAGAAGCCGGTGCTGTGTTTGAACAAGTCATGGGATATGAAAGACCCAGTTGGTTTGAACCAGAACTATCAAAAAGTAAGTACACACGGTAGAGTTAAACACAAAATACTTTTGTTGTTTCTATTAGATGCTAGTATATTTTGATAATATACTGATCAAGCTCACAAAACCCAAAAAATTAGAATCTTTTAATGATATAAAGGTAATGGACATTCATTATTTTGTTTAATCTACAGTAGGACCTCGATTATCCAAACTACAATTAACGTATCTGAATGTTAAAACTCGTTAAAGCATTAGATAGTCGTGTTGATAATTTTTTCAAAAAAATATAATAAACATAACATATGTTTCTAATAACTTAATGTAGGTATGTAATTTACATAAAATATAACAATAAATATATAATATAAAATATTTTACTGTTTTAAAAATTTATTTATTGTGGTTTTTTTTTTTAATTTCCAATATCTGAACTTTTGTGTATCCGAACTAGGTGCGGTCCCAATTAGTTCGGATAATCGAGATTTTTCTGTATGTTTAAAATATAAAATGTATTGATAATAATTTGTTATTTATTATAAATAAATTAAATTTTTATTTTTTTATTATTTGTTTTTTTTTTTTAGTAAATTTACACAGCTACACCGACACAAAAAAATTCATTATGGCTAAAACTAATACATTTGGAAAACCAAATTGGTTTGACATTGTCGAGGCTGAGTATGAAGCTTGTAGAGAAAACGTTAGTCTTTTAGATTATTCTTCTTTCACCAAATTGGATATACAAGTGAGTAAATTAAATATTTTTATTTCTACTGTTAATTAAATATATTAATTGAAACACTAAATAATATTAAATATAGTAATGTTTTTGAAAACTTTGCTTCAATTTTACAATAGAAATTCAGAATTTGAGACATACTAAATTTTCCTAATTTCTGTATTATCTCATTATATTGTAATTAATTAAATGAAGTGCAGTATTTTTTATACCCTAGCACCTCACATGTTATAACATAGTCTTTAAAGACATTATTGCATTTTAAAATATTTACATAAATTTAAAATTAAACTTTTCACATTTCCCAATAATTTCTCGCATAATGAAAAATTAATGCCTTCTTAACCTCACTTAAAAGTGTCATCACTGGGTGACTGCTTTTATCAAGATTTTCATGTACAGATTGTGTATATAAACAATAAAGAAAAAAAAAATTACAATTAAGAAGTATTATAATACTGTAATAATACCCATTAATAGAACCAACTTATTATAAATTCTCAAATTGTGTAATGAATATTTTATCATGTATTAGATGAACTAAACTTTTGGTTATTTCAACTTTTTAATAATATTTCTCTTACATAAGAATAAATAAAATATTCAACAGTTTTAAAAGCTTTTAAGCTGATTTAAGAAGTGTGTTGGAAGTGAAATTGTTTAAAAAATATATTAAGTAATATCTAAAATGTTTTCATTAATTATTTTGATTCATATCATTTAAGACTAATTTTTTTCTCACAAATCATAATTTTATTTAAAATATAGGTATTTAAAACTCAGTTAACAATTTTTTTTTTTTTTTATCAAATTTATGTAATATATTTGTAGCATTTTTCAGTCTAAGTATTTATTTTATGGCTGTATTGATATTTTTAAAGAGCTAATAGTTTTTTTTTATATCTATCACTAAAAAAATTATGTCAATTGGTTATAAATACTAGTTGCAATAATAGTGTAGTTAATCTATAATACATTTAGCTAGAGTTTTTGAAACTTTTAAAATATTTTAAAGCTTAATTATCTGGCTTAAGTGGTATACATCATTAAGATATTGTTATATTATCTAAACAATACAACAAAGTAGATATATTGATTATCCAAACATCAATCAACATTTATATTTTTTTTATGCAATGACATTGTCAAATGTCAAAACTGATAAATAATACTGAACATCATATATTATTTTTTTCTAATAATATCGAAATCTGAGTACGTATAATCACTGATGGTGTTTTCGTTCTTCAATTCCAATTTATCAATATGGCTGGCCGGACTTCCAACTTCTCGCAACCATGTAATCATCTCGACGACTTTGTCCGATGGTCCTTGTATAGTGCCAATCACCGTGCCTTCTGGCGTGTTTTTACACCAACCTCGTAAGCCCAATTTTTTACCTTGTTCCTGGGTGCATTTGCGAAAGAAAACTTTCTGCACTCGACCAAACACCTCGAAGTCGACAGTTTTAAATCCAGACGACATGCCGTTCTATGAGCTGAAAATCTAATCCTAAAATATTATACTAGGAATCTAACCTACAGTAATCATGATACTAAAACGTACTGAAATCTTAATAGTTAATATACTTTATAGAGTTTGGAGCCCGCGTTTCTTGTCTTAGGGTTGGTGATAAACTGATAAATAATAAATAATTTTCACAGATATATACTAATACGTAATAGTGTATATCTGTGATAATTTTAGTCAAATCACTACAAATCTACGTGATAGTATTTCGAATTAAACCTTAACCACGGTAACGTACGTTACCCCTATGGGTGGTTGTATAACAATTAACAACTAATTTCAAATTTAAATATTTTCGTGGGAAAATTTATAAAAACTATTTTTATATTAAAGGTTATTTTTTAATTTCTTTATAATATATTTTTATAACATTGTTATGATTAATACGTATTTGAATATTAAATTAATTTTTAGTCTAAAGGCCGAGAAGTGGTTGATTTGTTACAATTCCTTTGTTCAAATGATGTGGACGTACCAGTTGGCAGTATTATTCACACAGGCATGCAAAACGTTCGCGGAGGTTACGAAAATGATTGTAGTCTCATTAGACTGTCGGAAAATCAGTAAGTCTTGTAACATTTTGTTTTGTGTGTATTTATTTCAATAATTGCTTTGTGTTGTACTAGTTATATGATGATTGCTCCGACGATCCAACAGACACGTTGCAAGATTTGGATTCAACGACATTTGCCAAGTGATAACTCAGTATCCTTGACCGACGTCACTTCCATGTTCACTGCCATTTGTCTAATGGGTCCTTTTACACGACACCTATTATCTGAATTGACAGAAACCGATCTTAGTCCTAAATCATTTCCATTTTTCACTTATAAAGAATTAGATGTAGGCCTAGCTAATGGCATTAGGGCTTTAAATCTCACTCACACTGGAGAGTTAGGCTATGTTTTGTACATACCAAACGAGGTAAGATGTTTTTATGGTTATTCTGACTTATTATTTATATTGTATTTAGTATAATGTCAGTATAATGTATTGTGTTGTCTTTATCTTCCACATATTTTTATTTTAGTAAAACTATTTCTTTTGAATTATTTTAGCGTTTAGTCAAACTGTTCAAATTATGTAAGCATAGCTTAGCTATTAAAAAAATTATTTAGAAGATAAAATTAAATGTATTAATAATTATTAAATAATAATAAAAGTTTCTTTACAATCTAACTATTAAAGAAAAAACTTATGTAGGGAACTACATTAACACTTATTAAGTAAATATTGTAAATTGTAATACATTTTGCTCAGGTATTTTGTGAATTTTGGCCATAAAATTAGATATACAAATATTAGTATTATTATATTATAGAAAACAAACAAATTGTATCCTGACATATTTTTAAAGAAATATTACATTATCACTTAATAATTATGATAATCTCAATAATTGAATGACTATTAAACAGTTATAGATATAAATATCAAAATTGTTATTCAAAATAATTTCAAAACATTTATTTTCATCTAATGTCATTAAATATTGCAAAATAATATTACGTTATTCTATTTGATAAATAATTATTATTTTCAAAACTTTTTACTGCTATATTTTATGATAAAAACTTTTCAAATTACTTAAAGTATTTTGATTCCATTTTAAAAGTTAGAGTTAAATTATTAAAAAATAATTCTTGTTTTATACCACTGGTTTAAAAAAATAAAAAATATTATTTCCTTTATATTTTTCTATTGAGTATAATGTTATGTATTTAGCAGTGGTGGCTTGTGAACCGTATGAGAGGTAAAGCAGATATTTTCAAAATGTATGAGAAAAAAAATGCTGTTAAAATATAAAAATAAGTTTCAAGTTAATTTTCAAAATAATTCAATTAATATTTAATTCTAACCTTTAACAACATATAAATAATTAAACATGAATAAAGCATATATTATTTATATTAAATGTTAAAATAAAGTCAGCTATAAAAAAAATAAATACTTATTACATAAGTCTCATTTACTAAAATAAAAAAAAAAAACAAATATCTTTTTTTATACTATGTTTTATAAATTAGATCTATCCTCCTATTTTTGAGTATTGCAAACTATATGACATTATGACAACCTTCCTGTTCCTATTTCTGTTAGTGAAAGTTATGTCGCTTCGACAAATGACTAATGGAGAATGTTAACAAACTCTGAGGCCTGTATCGTTCAGCCTCATTTTATAATGAAATTCTGACTTCCCTCTCTGCCATGATTTATTTTATAACTGTAGAGCCATCCAGTTTGTCTGAAGCTAAATATTACTAGCCTCTCGGCATTCTTCGGCTTTCATCAAGATAACTTTATCGTTCTACGAAAATCTTCGTTGTTATTTTTGATAATAGTAACAAAGTATGTATAATCATTATCTACCTACATCTTACTATGATAATTAATATTATTATATACTACAAAATTAATTTGTTTTGTCATCAAAGTAATATATAATAACAAAAAACTTTTGTATTTTAAAATGTTTATTATACTATTGAATATAATATTCTTAAAGTCAACTATGATTATAGTATCTACCTCTTTTTCCTTTACAATAGTTAAGTAAGGCTGAGCCTCACTTGTCTCTCATGACGAGCTACCACTGGTATTTAGCGCTTTATATTATAAAAGACAAATTTAATAGTAATGGCTTACAAATTTTATTCAATTAGATAATTTTTTGAATTTCACAAAGATTATTTACTATGAAATCATTTTTTTTTTTTTTTTTTTTTTTTTAGTTTGCTTTACATGTTTACAATTCATTAATTCAAGCTGGGAAAAAGTATAATTTGAAACATGCTGGCTGTTATGCAATGAAGGCTTTGAGAGTAGAAAAATTCTATGCATTTTGGGGTCAAGATTTGGATACATCGACCACACCATTAGAATGTGGACGATCTTGGAGAGTGAAGTTTGATGTAAGGCTGATAAAATTTTAATGATAATTACTAATTTATTTTTACTTTTTTGTGTATTCTTTGCTAAGTTTTTGTTGTTTCCAGAAAGGAATGAATTTTATTGGACGAGATGCTCTGTTGCGTCAACAAGAGGAGGGCATAAAGCGAATATACGTTCAATTATTGTTGAATGATCATGATCCAGATACTGAAATGTGGTCTTGGGGCGGTGAGCCAATATTTAGGGACAAGAAATATGTTGGTGCCACAACAACTACCAGTTATGGGTTCACATTTAAAAAACAAGTAAATTTCGTGAATAGTATAATGTTATTTATTGGTTTGCCAATTATGTTTAATATGAAAGTAACTAATCAAAAATATTTATTGTTAGGTATGTTTAGGATTTGTTCAAAACTTAGATAACCATGGAAATGCTCTTCCATTAACAAACGAATATGTGTTGGCCGGAGAGTATGAAGTAGAAATAGCAGGTACGCGGTACCCAGCAAAAGTAAATATCAACAGTCCAAATTTACCAACAAAATATCCAGATAAGGAACGCGAATCATATCTTGCCACTAGGGACAAAATGGTATCTGAACCTTTGTTGAGAAACAATTGACATTTCGTGCAGCAAATTGAATTCATCCATCCTACGAGTTTCCCTAAATATTAAAACAAATTGAGTTTCCTATTTTTATTTATCTCACCAATTACCTAGATCTTATATTGCTTTGATTTTATTGTCAAAAAAAAAAACAAAAAAAACAAAAGTATTACAGACGTTAACTTGTAGCGTCAATCTATGTAAGTCGTATAAGTTATTGAAATAACATAATGAATAATGTTTTTTGATTCTCAACTGTAGTTATAGAACTCGCGTCAATAGTGTTACTTGTAGAAGTCATAGTTAATACATAAGAAAAAATTCAATTGATTGTACATTTATACCTACTGTAAATTTCAAAAAATTTCACATATTGTATGTTGTATTCAATGAGATTCTAACAGGTTTCTTTTTTTTATTTGTCAATTATTAAGATTCTGTGCAACATTTATTGTTATACCTAGCTGTAAATGCAAACTCTAGTCGTTATGTAATTTGTTGCTGACTTGTTTAGATTACTTATGGATATTCACAAATTATTTTCGAACTATGACAGTGAATATAAATCGATTATAATATTTGTAAATCCTGTAAACTTTTCAATACGTGAATTTAGACTTTAATTGTGTATTACAATAAACACTTTGTACAATACAAAACATTCTATATTTATTTATTATAAAATATGCTTAACAATATATATATATATATGTACATGTTATTATGATATACAATTTTATAAATGTCATTTTAATGTTTTTTAAAGATTTAAATGTTTGTGATTGTTGTTATCTTACTACTTAGTAATGGATATCAAAGTGCATGTCCACCATAAGTACCTATACCAATTTAATACAAAAAATTGATATAACATTAATTTCTGTTTAATTGGCATGTATTATATAATTTACAGAATGTTTCACAACTTGATTTATGACACTTTCATATCCAACTTTTGCCAAAACTTACATAATCATTCTAATACTTAAATTGTAATTATTATTTAGTGTTTAGTTCTAAAATATTAATACCAACTAATAGTATCAATAATTGTTGAAAAACAGTTTACACTTTTTTTTATTTAAAAAATTTTATTTCTGATTTAGCAATAATCTCAACGCGATTAATAAAAATTTACAATAGGCAGGTAAATTTTTTGTTTTATATTATAAAAAATTGAATTTTCCATAACAATTTGCAGCCAGCTTAATATTACACCTTTTTTAGTATTTTAGAATGTGTATGTGTGTATACATTATACACTATAAGTAGTTGAAAAAATGCTTCGATTTTCAATTTTGATAGTGGTTCGGATAAGCAGATATTTGGTACATTGAAAATAAATTAAAAAATGATAGTAGATTTTTCGAAATTTTATACCAATCGTGATTCGTGTTTCCCGATTACCATTAGCATTGATTAAATATATGTAAAGTTATGGTGCTACCTGCTTATTTATATATATTTTTTTATTTATTTTTTATTAAAAATAAACAATATATACAAGTAATGTACAATAAGCTTATGTGTTAAGAGAAGACAGGACATGAAAAATTGATTAAGAAGCCGCCCACTGACAACACTTAGCATATGTATATTTAATCAATGGTAATAGTTAAGTGACACTTGAGAGTAAAGTATCCGTAAACTATGAACAATTTGAAAACCACAAAAATAAAACTTCGACTTATCAATTGTTTATTTCTTAAAATATTTTGGAATACCTACATTGAGCTACATTTAACTTTTAAATATAAATCAATCAAAACATAAGTTTTAAAAATTTAAAGTATTTTTATTCAATGATACATTAATATATCTATATAGCTTTACTAAACTATTTAAATTTGTAATAATAATCATGAAAAAAATGTATATAAACAATATAATTACTAATGATATATCGCGTCAAATCAAATTAGGCGATTATACCTAACCATGCAAGATATTTAAAAAATAAATAACACACAACACTTTTGACAGGGGGAACTGAAAGATTTCTTCCTTAACTACTACCTACCTAACGACTAACGGTGTCCGAATTTCCAAAACCGATCACTAATTGAAAAGTGAAAGGTTACTAATCTGTGACGCCTCTACTCGGGCCCTTTCGGCGAACGGGTTCGTTTGTGCCCGGCGCATCTTGATCTCTCGTAGTTACGCTGCTAACGTTATAGTTATTTCACCGTCCCGGCAAACTAAGAATAGCTAGCCTGTCCATGTAACCATAAAAATTATCGCCGTGTAGGTAGCATATGATGCGTATGTGAACCATCCTCCAGAGATTTGGACTACGAAAAATTGGGCGCCCGCTCACATAAACAGTTTTGTAACTATTGTTATTTTTTTCAAATCGTTTATTATTTAATCACAATCTATACATTGATCCATTTGTGTACAATAAGTAAATCGTTTGATCATAATGTACAAGCCCGGATTAAGGATCGATTGATCCCCAGGACACCATAAACTTAGTAGGCTCTCTTTCAACTTTAACTTCAAAAATATTGTATCACTACATTTTAAAAACTGTAAATTATTGTATAATTTTTTCAGCACAAAAAATATATTAATATATAAATGTAAGACTATATAAATTAACAATTTAATATTTATTATCATTTAGTTATTTTTCGTAATATTAAATTAAGAACATTTTTATTTTATAATTACTAGGTAATTATCTACTATACCCATAAAAAAAAAAAAATTTTTTCAATTTTTTTAAACTCATTAAAAATTTATATTTATATCGGAGATAAAGATGAGCCCCTAAAATCACTGGGCCCCGGGACCGTGACCCCGTCCTTAAACGGAATTCATTGTGCTCGAGGGCGCGGAAAAACTGTAAGTAAAAATTAAAATTTAAAACATGGCAGTCGCGGACCTACTCGAATCGTCGTTGTTATAAATGACATATTGTGTAGAGCCACGTGAAAAGCGCGGCAAAACGCGTTTCAAAACCGCCGGTAATATTTCGCGGCGCGCACGTTGCTGCAACTGCGGACAGCGACCGTCGTCGTAACCGTAAGGCGGCAAATCTAACGTACCTATCATGTATTTTACCATTTTTAAGTTCCACGTTTTGTCCACGAGACGACTGCACCTAACCTAAAAAACGACCGATGTATCGGAATTCCTGCGGTGCTATTGGCCGTGTCCCCAAAGGTCGCGGGGCACCACGGACGACAGCCGAAAAAAAATGCACCCCCCTACCCCGTCCGGGATGTTGTGACAAAGGAACGGCCCCGGCCGACCACTCTGGTGGCCGTCCGTCCACGTACGCGGCCGTGTTGGACGCCTGCGGTGTGCGTGCGCATCGACCACGCGTGTCGACGTGCGGTTACCGCGGTCAAATATGCTGGCTGTGCGGTCGTCACGGTGCCGCGCTCCAAAGTTTACGGGAAAATGTATAGCCGTCGGCCGCGGAACCCATCATCACTGGCCGTGTCACGCCGCGCCGCGCCGCCAACGCGTGCGCCGGAGGAGTGCGTCGCCCGCCCGCCCGCTCCCGCCTTTCACTTCGCCGAACGTGTGCGCTCCGTCGCTGCTGATCTGGCCCGTTCGCGTGTTTTCTTTTCTTTTTACCGTTTTCGTTCTTTTACTCTCACCCCGCTAGCAGTCCGGACGTATTGTCTTCAGCACACGTCGAATTCAGCGGTATCGCATCAGATCGCCGACGTACGGTCTATTAATATCGCATTTATATAATTAATATAAATCGATTTTGGTGATCGTCGCCCGTAAGGACACGCGTCTTTTCTTCAGTTGCTCTACTCTGACCGTCATAATATCGTAATCGCCATGTCTGTCGCTGTCGCCAACAACGTGCTCACGACCTGTAGGTACTACTAAGACGACCCGCTCACACGACACCCGATCGCTCGCTTTACGGTAACACCGTATCGCCGCCGCCGCCGCCGCCGTCGTTGTCGAATCACGTGACAACGCACACAGCCGTGACGCACCGCAATCCTGGCCGCTGCCGTTTTGCGAACCATCTTCTTTTAACAATATTATCGTTCAAGTATCATCGCCATCAGCCACGCCACGATGACGAATCAGCCACCCGGTGCCGTGTCTCCCGCAAAGGAACCCGTCAGGGTCTTCGAGGGAGTCGTAAAACAGGTACGTCGTCGGGTGACCAATACGCGACCACGCGCACCACGTTTTCTTTCCTGCCACAGTGGCCACAGTTTTAGAATATAACCCTTGCAAGTTACAGTCGTTTGTCCTATAGGTAAGGTTAGTATAGGTACGGGGACTAGGCTGTCGGCGATGTATTGCGTGTGTAGTTCCCGACCTCTCGGAGGTAGATAGGATCTCGACTAGGTAGATGTCTTCTGTCTTACCCGTGTCGTGAACTGATTCGGTTATCTAATACCCAACCAACACATTTAATTTACGACTCGAGTTTTGAATTCGTAGACGAATTGATGGATTAATTAGGAGTACTATTACATTCTACATTAATTATATCCGAGTATGGGAATTGTTCGTGTACAGGATTAATTTATTACAATAAAGTACTAAATACTTATATTAGAGGTGCTTAGGTACTACAGAATTTTCAAATTTTATTTAAATTGATGAAAGATGAGAGTTTTAATTGATTGGTAGTTAGGAGACATTAATTATAAGTACATTACATAATTTCTGTGATAATTTTTGTTTTATCTAGTTTTTCATTTTTTCATAAGTTGTGTAACTCCCTATGTATAGAGTAAAATACACTATAGACCAATAATCATTATTTAAATCTATTAAGACTCATATAAGTATACTAAGTGTAAATTTTATTCTATTTATTTATTAATGAGAATTATGTTTGCTTTCAATATTGTGAAAGGCCTAACCAATATGTATAAACATTGCCCTACTTTCTTAACTGTAATCTTGTTTCAAAGATAGATGCTCTTAATTATTCAGCATTATAAAAGATTGTATTTCACATAGGTACCTACTTTAAATTAAAATGTATTAATATTTCAAATTAGGTATTTTTTATTTGTATTTTAAAAAAATATAGGCATTTCCTCTAATCTTGAATTAATCTAAGTGTTATAAAGTAACTTCCCCATTTCCCAATATTATTCCTAATATTTTTATGAGTATCTAAATTTGTTCTATTTTTACTGTTTATAAAGTTTATTTATCTACCTAGGGTTACAACATAACTTAAATATACCAAAATGTATTTCACAATCTGCATATATGACCAAAAAGTAAAGTTTGAAAAAAATATTTTTCATCATGACTTGCGATACTTAGATCTATCTTTGATAGATATAAGATTTTATATCTAGTTAATATGTTAATTTAATATGCATATGAATGACTTTAAGTTTTGTTAAAAATTAAAATATTAAAACTGTTATGAATAGTGTCCTTTAAAGTATCAATGGCTTTAATTGATTTCTATTTTTTTTGCCATTATAGATTAAGTACATTATAAAAGTATATTTTAATTTTCACTTCTAATTATTGTTAATGTAATTTATTTTTTTATACTGTGCAGGTGAATTCTGGTGATTCTATCACTATCCGCGAAGAAGTATACAATGGTTATCCAAAAGAAAAACAAATTACATTGAATAACATCATTGCTCCCAAATTGGGCCGTCGCGCGTGAGTATTTGATTTTAGTTAATATTGTGATCAATTTGGT